TTATATAGATTTTATAGATACATATATAATTTTTGAACTGAGAGCATTTATACTTCTGTATTTTTAGGACACAATTCTATTTGGTTTTTTTAATTATTCTTTTTTTTGGCATTGAAGCCTTAATTTTGGTACCTTGGACATCTCCTCAGAGCGAGAATGCTTATTTTTTCCTTACCCGCAGTCTCTCGTATCGCTGGTTTTAAAGAATAGTTAGTGGCCGTTAATTCCATTAACGAAACAAAGGCATTAAGGCCAGCAGGAGGACTTACCTGCACACGTTCTGCACCAGCAGACCTGGCTGTGGCAGTAAGGGATGTTGGTCTCCCATCCCCAGGTTAGATCTGCTCAAAGCCGGACTCAAACAGCAGCTCAGACTGGGCCTGTTCACTCCTTGGCATTGATTTCTGCCGGGAATTTGGAAACGCCGGCTGATGCTGCGTGCCCGCGGTTGTTCTTCCACTCGTGGCAGCCTCCAGTGACGCTTTCTTGGGGTTTGTGTACAGGGAGGTGTGGGAGTGCTCTCGCTCTGCTTCACCCAGGGTGCTACATCAAAACCCATTTTTTCCCCATGTTTTTTTCCAAAATGGGAATTTTCCATGGCAAGGGGGCTGGAACTAGATTATCTTCAAGGTCCCTTCCAACCCAAACCACTCTATGACTACATTTTTATATGTGTGTGTGTGTATATATATATATATATATGTATAACTTTCTTTCCTATTCTAAATCCTAACCCCTTATCTTCTGTTGGGATGGCTCTCAATTACAGACAAATATGTATCTCCCAGCTGGTAAAAACATGGGAGATGACATCTCTCAAGACTGTGCTTTCACAGGGGATATTTCAAATCAAATCTCAGATTTTTTTCCTTTGTTTTCTCTCCTATTTTCTTTTTTTTTCCCTCTTTTTTTTTTCTTTTTTAAAGCAACCTCAAAAATAGCTTTTATATATTCACAGCCAATAAACAAATTGTAAAACCTGGCAAAGAAGAACTAGGAGGCCTGACTCCCCACTGCTTCGCTTTTGCACGCAGAGCAAATCCAACATGTCGCTGCTCCAAGTTCAAAGGGCGGCCGGCCGCAAAGGCAGAGGGCTGGAGGCACACTTTGGGGTCCGTCTGCTCCGGCAGCATTTTTTGCAGCGATACGAAAGGAGCCAGAGGTAACTCTGCCTTCCGAGCGATCGCGCTTCCCAGCAAACCTCTAGCGTGGGATAAACGGGTTGAGGGATGGCAACGGCGCGGTGGGAACTCTTGGTGTGAGGGGCTCGGGGATGCCCAGAAAACCCACTGGCTTGGGGGCAGACACTTTTTTTTTAGGGGGGTAGGATTTTTTTTATTATTATTATTGGAAGCCTCCAAGTGTTTTTGCTCAAGTCGATTCGATACCAGCGTGAACTGCGCTCGCAGCGATTTTGGAACTAAACGATCTGCGTTTGGGATTGTCACTTGGCCACGTGCTTAAATCACAGGGCTAATGTGATTTTTGGGGGGGGAATCCTGAAAGACGAAGGTTTGCGTTGCTCCGTTCACACTGGTACAAGCAGCAGAGAGAGGGAGGGGAGCGGGGCAGCTCTCTTGTGCCTCCGACGAGCAGCTCCGGGCTTGTGTGAGCGAAACCTCCGTCGGCTTCCTCGACTTACCCGTGGGACGCGCGTCACCTCCGCGGAGGTCACGGCAGGCAAACTAAGGGCAGGTAAGTGGATTTGCGGTCTTAACTGTGAATTCTCTGGGCTTTTAATGCGTTTAAATCAACCTCAAAGCTGTCGGGTGCTATTTAATTTGACAGCGGTGCCCGTAGGCATCCCATCGTTGCGTCTTACAAATACATGGGAAGACGTAGTCCCTGCCCCGAAGAGAACATCACAGGAACTTTTTTTTCTGGTGATTTAATCATAATATTGACAACTTTTATCAAAAATTACAAAACTGATATTAAAAAAATCTCTAATTCTTAGTAAGACTAGAATGGGTTTTTTTAAAAAATAGAAAAGCACTTTTATGCTACTGCTCTTCCGGAATTCTCACATTACAACCCTACATAGCAAAATACAAACTGTAGCTAAGAAAGGTAGCAGTCCTAAGGTAATTCAGTCCACCACGAGCCCTCTAATATCTCTATACCATCAAACTCAGGGACTCCGAAAGGATATCACATTACTTATAAACCTTCTGCAAAGCTGAGTTAGGAAATACCTTTAAATTTTAAGTTCTTGTTAACCCCTAAAACCTTAGACTGTGAGGATAATAGACCTGGGACATCAGAGGTGGGGTGGGTTTGTTTTTTTTTTGATTTTTGATTTTTTTTTTTTAAACTATGTGGATATTATTTTTTTTTTTGCAGCTGGTACCAGCCAAACATTTTCCGTCAGAAGTGAAAATATGAAGAAAATCCACTGAAATAAATGAAAATATTTTTTTTATGGTGTTCACAGAATGCACCATAATAGAAAGAGGAATTATTTCCTTTAATTTGAATGTCATCGGAATGACTCAACCACATTGTCACCCACTTAGCAAAAGAAAGCATAATAAATAAATAAATAAATAGACAAGAATATGTAACACTTTACATCCTCAAAGAATCACGTAGTTCCCTAATCTACCGAGATAACTGATTGACGTCGTGGGCTCGCTTTACTCAGCCAGTTCAGTTTCGTGTGATTGTGCCATATTAATGACAATAAAGTGTTGTTCCACTTTCCACAATGGAGTATTTTTTTTTTCTCACCTTTTAAATATAGGAATTCTCTGTTAAATTAGAAAGTAGGCAAAAAGTATTTTTTAAATTTTCATTTTTTTTTAAGTCTTCTATTAGAAAAAATATAGATTTATTAAACAAAAAATAATAAGGTAGAAAGAAGGGTTGGGCCTCCATCAAAAAAGTATATTATGCTTTAATGCAAAGAGAAAGAAATGGCTCTATGGGCAAAATTCAAGTATGAGTGACCAGTTGTTTAATCGTAAAGTAGGTGCAACATTTTTTTAAAATGTTACAACACTGCATGACCTGTAATGCTCACAATATTTACATTAACTGCTTACACGAAACCAGAAAAACCTCTAAAAGAGAGAAAAAATAAAAATCAAAATCGGTGTGGACTGAAACAAACTACTCCTAGCACCCACATCAATGCCATCACCAACCAATGGACTCAAGTGCACAAAAATACTTTACATGGTCTACGGATGTAAAGTACACAGCGGTGAGAAAGTACAAACCTACTCGGGTCAGAAGCCAAAAGAAGGGTCGGTCGATACAGACTCGGTCTGAGGACAGAAAGCAAAGGGAGGGAGAAGAACCTAAAGGCGGGAGGCTCGCTCGCTCGCTCGCACACGCGCGCACACACACGCACACACGCGCACGACGGCGGCAGGGAAGCGGGGCTGGCGTGGGCAACAGGCAGCAGCGGCTCTTGGAACGAACACGTCGGGAAAAGAAAAATATCGTGAGCTAAGCTACACACCCCAAAAAAAACAGAAGGAAAAAAAGAAAAAAAAAAGCGGAAAATGAAAATTGGTAAAATCGATCACGTCACGTGAGGTTGCGTGGAGGACGGTGGCATTATGGAAAAGACAAATGAACCTACCCCGCGGAAGGAAGGGCTCCTGCCTCCAGGTCCCTGTAGCCAGTGCAGC